ACCTGTATAGTAATGTATAGGCGAACTACTTAAATTAGGCACCAAAAGTGCATGTGTGGCTAGTTGTAACCTCCTATATAAGGGGGCCCCTGGAGGCACCCGTGTTCAAATACATGAATAAAAACATCAACTCCCAGAGGCAGAGACTTTAACTCAAAAAAAAAAAAAAATAAAGAAAAAATAAAATATTTTTAATCTATAATTACTTTTACCTTTAGACTCTTTTTATATTTTATAAAAAATTTTTAACACTTATCAATTTAATATAGCTTTGTCTTGAGGTTTCAGACTATGTAATAAAGTTTTTTTTTATTTTACTTTTCTTTTTTAATTTAAAGTATTTTTTCTTTAACAATCACATCTTTTTAGTTTTATAATCATATCTTTTTAATTTTATAATTGTATCTTTTTCATACAAACTTCTACAATCTACTTCAGAGCCATATACTATACTTTTTTAGGATTTATTACATTTTTTTTCTTCAAAATTTCTTTTTAAAAGAGTATAAGATGCAACTTTGGATATGTTATAGTAATATTTATAAAAGTAATCAATAAAATTAATAATAATTAATTTAAAAATTCAATAATCACTTTCATATATATTTTTATAATTTATATATATATATTTTCTATTAAACTAGCCTCTTTTGGGCCTAGGGTTTTATTCAGTAAATTGGACATAAGGACTTGTGACTGAAGCCTCAAAGAAATCATCTTATATTAAAAAGTACAACTAGTCACATGTATACTTTTAGTATCTAATTTAAGTAGTCCACCAATAGTTCTATACTAGCTGCTATACCTGCAACCCAACTAGGAGTATTGCTTATTTAAATCCTCTATACTGCAATCCTTACTGTGTTACTAGATAATCTCTAATACAGCTATTAGTCAAAAAGATTTAAATACTTTTAACTATTTTCCTTAGGACCCCATACCTTATTTTATACAATGTATTCTCAAAAGCATTGTTACTAGAGCCTTTCATGTTCTACACACAGCTAATCTAGTTTTATATAATACACTATAGTTACCTAATACTTGCAATTACAAGGGTTATCTATTTAACTACTACATTATATTATTTCTATCTTTGTAAAGTTTACCCAAACCCTGGTATCTATTTTTTTGATTTTTTCTTTTTATTTCTTTACTATTCAACTCAGAATCTGACAGACTTCCCAGACTTCTAATCCAAATAAACCAATGTGATATACCTTGGTATTCTTTTTCTTTGATGATTCTGATAACCTGATTGATCATATGCTTCTCTACACATCTTTCTATCTGGTTGCATGTTTACCTATTCCTTATTGGGGTTTCCTGGACTTCCATTAGTTCAATAACACCATTGAAGACTTGTGCTACTCTTTACTCAGGAATTTCCAAGTAGGCTTCTGTTTTCTTGATTTCTTGATCTTCTACATCTGGTGATCTTATTGTGAGTTTGTACTGAAGTCTTATGCAACACTGGTTATTAACATTCCTCTATGTACATGTAATATTACATTTCGCATAAATGCCCCAGGCTCTTAATGATAAGTAGAACCCGATTGGTTGTACTTAAGATTACAGATACCTAAATCCAACCGATCAATAAGAGACAGTTTACTGTAATACAAGTTAATTACTTTTCATCATAAATAAGATTTGAAGCTTAGACATGCCACTTGGAGGATGACAACCCAACCACTACACTAGGATCGCCATCCTCTATTTTATAATTTATTACATAGCCACATTTTATATCTTTTTAGAATTATTGCTATTAGCATCTTTTTTTTTTAGATTCCTTGCAAATTTCATAAATATGATCATAATATTGTATCTTATACTCTTTTAAGATTACTACTAATCAAAATTATTTAACCCATTGTCTAGAGCCACACCCCTTTTTAGAATTATTATTTCTATACATTTATAATTTCATTAACATATCAAAACCATATCCTATACCATATTAGGATTTTATTTTCCTATTTTGTTTAGTACTTTCGAAGTTGTGAAAAAAAATTTATGATTTCGCGATAGGTTGCGCATAGCAAAATATAACATCATCAAAATTTTAACAATCAATCGAACGAATTTACTAATTCTGCCACAACTTCTAATTAGTTCTACTAATTATTCATATATTGTAATATTTGTGTTATTAAAACTTTCCGATAATGAAATGATGAGAAAATTAGAGCATCCTGATTAAATTATGGCAAAATAAGTTACTTTATTGCATGTTTCTTATGTGGATACATGGCCATTTTTATTGTGTTTTTGGTTTACTTCTAATTCGTGATATGCAAATTTGATTCACCTATAGTAGGTGAACGAAACTTGTATATTACAAATTATAAATGATCCAACAAGGTGCAAAAATAATTAGACAGTGGATAATCCGTTATCAACATGACCAATAACCAGTACATATTGTTTTGGATTGGTATGTGATTTTGATCAATGGAATGGTGAGACTAGTCTTCAAAACTTTTGTCATTTTGTCACTTTATTGGAAAAAATAACAGTCAAAAAATAAAAAAAAATAAAAAAAAATAAATAGACGCCTATGCATAGTGCGAATTCTAATTGTAAACCAGTTAATAAAGAGCTGTCATATATATTATTTGCTGTTTTGACAAAAAAAACGCATAAAAAGCTATCAGTGAAAGCCCGGGTCTTTGGATCAACTATTTTTTTGTAAGTTTGTAAATGTTCAATAATACCGTCGCACACGTGCCTTGTACAATGCTACCGCCCAATCACATTTCGGACGTCGATCACCACCTCTCGTGATCATGTGAAACATCGGAAATGTACGGGATAGGGGGTACGAATAATAAATCTGGGGGGTATAAAAACTAGCTCCCTAAATTTATTAACAGTCAATTTAATAATTCATTCCGCACCGTGGGAATTATGTAGCATATAATCAGTGATCAATCATAATAATAAGAATCATCGATTGTATCGTCTTTAATTACTAATTGCTTAGAAATTATTTAAATTCATTTTTCAATTTTTAATAGAAAGCAGTTATCATTAGTGGTTTATACTTATCATAATGGAACAGAAACACCTCGAGTACAAGTATATGAATGGTTTCGGCAATCATTTTTCCTCTGAAGCATTACCTGATGCTTTACCTAAAAGTACAACTCCTTAATAGTTTCCTGAATTTCCTGTAGTATAGGTGACTCCGTAATCAATTGATTAATGATACATTTTATTAGAGGGTCACATACTGCAAGAATTTCTTAATTCTGCACGAACTTGTAAATCTAATTTACTGCTTTTCTCTTTTATAGATCAAAACTCTCCACAAAAATGTCCCTATGGTCTTTATGCCGAACAACTTTCAGGAACTGCTTTTACGGTAGATAGAAAGCATAATCAACGAAGGTATTTATTTGTCATTTCGATCAATCATTTTCTCAAATTACCTATTTATTCTATCCATTTTATAGTTGGCTTTACCGAATTCGTCCTTCCGTTTCCCATAAACCATTCACAAAAGTTGCTGAAAAAACTGACCTTGTAAGCCAATTCGGCAATACTAATAATGTTAGTTATATTCCAGACCAAATTCGCTGGGATCCGTTCAAATTGCTCTCACCACTTTCTTTAGAGAAAGACATCCCATCGCAAAATATAAATTTCATTTATGGTTTGCACACTTTAGCTGGCGCTGGCGATCCATCTGTAAAAAATGGTTTAGCTATCCACATATATAATGCAAATCATGATATGGTCGATACTGCTTTTTATAACTCAGACGGTGACTTTTTAATTGGTAACCATCAATTCCGTTTAGTTTTGATTTGTGGAAATTTCACCTTACAGAATCAAAATTATCAGATTCTGATAAGTTCGTTTCTGTTAAGTGAAATCTCTGAAAAATCATCATTTACAGATTTTCACTTTGCGGCACTCATATATTGTCAAAATTTATTTAATGATTCGTTAATTATGTTTGATTTATAGTTCCGCAGCATGGTCGACTTGATATAACCACCGAATTTGGTCGTATAATGGTTTCTCCTTGTGAAATTGTCGTTATCCCACGTGGCATTAAATTTGCTGTAAACCTTCCTGATGGTCCAAGGTAACTTTAAAATTTATTGCTTATATTGCATTGCAATACTTCATTAAATTGTATCTCAAATCAATCTAGTCGTGGCTATGTTTTAGAAGTTTTTGTAGGTCATTTCGAATTGCCTGATCTAGGCCCAATAGGTACACATTCAATATTTTTTTTTTTTTATCTTTATCATATAATCTTACTTTAATACACGTACGTATTATAGGTGCAAATGGTCTCGCTAATCCACGTGATTTCTTGTCACCTACTGCCTTTTTTGAAGAAAAAACGAATTGTGATTATACTATCATGAATAAATATGTCGGACAATTATTTGCCGCGAAACAAGTATGTTATGGCAAATTCAAAAAGCTTGGTTAATAATACAATAAAATATACTAATCCAATTTCGTTCGACCGCAAGGATCATTCACCATTTGATGTTGTAGCTTGGCATGGAAATTATGTCCCTTATAAATATGATCTCAATAATTTTAATGTTATAGGTTCCATTTCCTTTGATCATCCCGTAGGTCATTTAATATTTGATGTTGCTTTATATACAAGCGCTTAAATTAACTATCGCTTGTTTTATTTTAAAGGATCCATCCATATTTACTGTGCTTACTTGTAAATCCGCGTTTCCTGGATCTGCAATCGCGGATTTCGTGATCTTTTCACCTAGATGGTTAGTTCAAGAACATACTGTATGTAGATCGACTTATTTAATGTGATCTAATCAATTTATGTGGAAGAACTTTCTAATTTTAAATTTTTATGTAAAAAGTTTCGTCCTCCTTATTTCCATCGGAATTGCATGTCAGAGTTTATGGGACTAATTCAAGGTAAATATGATGCTAAAGCGAAAGGATTTCTTCCTGGTGGTGCAAGGTATTTACTTTCAGGATTTTTATCTCATTATCAACCCTAGTGTCGTCAATCTAAAAAATTTCGCTATCTGGTAGAATTAAAATTCAAGATCAACTGTAACATAAAATCAAGACGAGTGCATACAATTGCATCCAAACCCTAACCCTAAAACCGTTATCAAAATTTTTTAGATTGGTGATGCTAGGGTCCACATAACTATTTACTTTTATAGGATTATAAATCAACCTTGTATACTTTATTAGTCTCCACAGTCATATGACAGCGCATGGTCCAGATACTACCACTTTTGAGAAAGCGTCTAACGAAGAATTAAAGCCGACGCGAATACCCGACGGTGCAATAGGTAAATAATTTTTATTTATTAATGGATTTCAATATATTAACTACGACAATCAAAAACCAAAAAAATTCTATAATTTTCTAGCTTTTATGTTTGAATCATTTCTAATGCTTGGCATAACTACATGGGGCCTGTCATGTTCAGAACTTCAAAAAAATTATAATAAAGCATGGGAGGACTTGAAAAGCTATTTTGATCCAAATAATTGTTCAGCAAACTAGCAAGTGATTCCTGATTTATATTCAAATAGTGACATAGCTTTCTGTTGATTTATATCTAGAAACCTTGTTAAAATACAAGGTTAGTCATGTACAGTGTATGTTATTCGAATTTAATTTTATGTTCTCACAAGAGCACTTGGATTTGGAAATTTTTTGTTCTCAGAGAACATTAAGAACATTGAATTTCATACACTGGTCATGTATATTTTAAATTAATAATAAATTTCACTATTGATGTTAAAGCAAAAAAAAAACCCTCCCGAAAAAATTATAAAAATAAGGATATATATTAAGAATTACTTCCGATTTACAAATAGGATCCATTATCATAGTACAAACTCCAATATTTCTCTTAAAAGCTCACCTTCAAATATTTATTTTCGATTATCTTCAATAACATACTTTTTACGTGATTTTCTAACAAACCTTGAAAACTTTAAAACACTGCCACTACGAATACCTAATTCTTGTATTGGAAGCTTATCTTGTAATAATCGTTGGTTTTCAAACATTAAACAATAAGACTTCCAAATGTATCTCCTAAATAAATATTAGATAAATTTAATAATGGTGAATATATTTATATTATATTCATAATGGCAGATCATACGAAGTTGGATGGGAAATACTCGGGACACAAATATTGAAAGATAAATTTAAATAAATATTAACCAGCTAATTTTTTTGTTAGGTCTAAGCCCCTTATTATTTTGTTTTTGTAGTTTTTCAACTTTTAATTGAATTAAATTTTTTACATCAAGGATGGTAGAATTTTGTCGCACTACCAAGGCTAACCGATGAAATGTTGATCAGTTATTATACAATTATTATTAGGACAGTTCGGATGTTTGTTAATGGCTGACATTGTGCCGCATTGTTCAAAATTAGGGCTATCGTGCAATTTATGATCATGCTTCACGAGAAAAAATAAACCCATGATTATAAATGTTTACACGATAAGGCGTAACAGAAATATCATGAGTGTAGTCATAATAAAGAAATGCTACTAACATCTTTCAGTGTCTTATTATAACTTACTTAATGGTTCTAATCCGTCTCTTTCAATCTTGATTTCAAAAGCTGTACCAGTTTCTAATGAAATCAGTGTATCAACTTCTTCTATGCTTATGCTACCATTATTATTCAACTTTGTTAAATCTGACAATAATGGGTCCTTTAATAATTGCCTCAACATTTTTTGAGTCTTGGAAAGGTCCGTGGCAATGTCCATATCCTCGGCGATGTTCATGGCTATATGTGTGATACGTAAAATAAAAATTATGATATGAAAGGATGAAATCCGCACAGAGATAACTTTCTTGATGCAGATCTATCCTTAATTAGGATTAGTTACTATTAAGGGTAGAGTATACGATTTTCAAATTATATATAAAACTTATGATAAATTTTTATTTAATGTAAAATAAAAAATATTTTCTTAAGTAAACAGTTTTTAAATATTAATTAAAAATTGTATAATATGATTTTCTGATTCTAATGATAGTAAATTCATTAAAATTGGTTAAATATTGATTGAGATATATATGTTTAAAATTAAGTATCATAAATTGTTTATATAAATCATATGAAGATTATATGATTTGGACCAATCATGATTAATAATTTTATGTAATTACAGAAAATTTGAAGGCACTATAGAAAACATTGCAATATATACAAGTATATTTTTTTAAAATATTTTATCTATTAAAAATTTTACTATTATAAAGAATATATCTTAT